AATGGCGGTTGTTGTTATTGTTACTGTGTGTCCGGCAAAACAAGAGATGGCACCTCAGCCAGCCATCTCATTGAGTAGCCATTACCAGATCATCAGCAGATGCAACAGGGCTGACCAGCAGGGAAACAGGTCCCTGCGGGGTGGGCTGGTAGAACGAACAAATGAATGGCTATAATAAAATGAAATGGCGGGGGTACGATACGAAGGGAGAGTTTGAGGCCTAGTTCTAGGCTTTAGGCCTAGCTGTAGGCTTTAGGCCGCTGTGAGTTAATTTTAAACTATCTCAGGTAATTATAAGGGAATGTTACACTTGTTTAGCCAGGAAAGCCTCACTGAGTCTAAAGGTTTTTGTAGGGTCCTGCCAAGTGTTTGCAGTAGGGGGCGATGTTGCTACACGTAATCGGACGGAGGGACGATATAATCTATTGTAGGCTGGTTCACTTCGTTCCTACCAGTATAATCCCTTAACTATAACCAGTCATCGATAAGCATATTATTTTTAACCGCGACGAATGCAATTTATTTATACGGCCATTGTGAGCTCCTCAAACTACATAATTATTGAACATGCTATGTAATGTGTAATAAACCCCGTTGAGACGTCGTCAATTGAGAATTCTTTTTTCAGTTTCGTTCACAGCTTCCACCACATTCGTTCCTCCAGTTCCCTTGCTCCTTCACGCTGTTGGCTGACAGCGTGAGAGAGAGACTGCGGCGGCCCGCCACGTGGCAGGCTCCGGACCACGGCACCAGCCACGTGGCTTCTCCGCTCCTTTAAATCCCTGGCCCACGTGATGCCCCGCAGCCAATCCTCAGCCACACCCCTGGAACTTTCCCGAAGCTAATGTACGGCTCCAGGGCCACGCCCTAACTCGACTCCCCATTAGTTGCGGGCTGAGGCCGGCAGAGCCCATCATTATTATCCAGGTGTAACCTCACATTACAAATGTAATGCATTGGGCCAGAGTGAATTTCTGTCACAAGCCGAGTTGAACAGGAAATGGTTCCAACTCCTGGTCACGCAGCTTTAGATGGGCCTGCCCAAAATCATAAAAATCCTCAACGAATGTGAGCAGAGGCAGAGGACATCGAAATCAAGGAACCCAAAGCACCAAGCCTATTTAGGGTACCATAGGCCTGCTGTACTCGATCGACAGAAAATACAGCCGCCCCTTGAATATCGTAGGTTACGTTCTTGGAAAATGCCACGCGACAGCTAAAAACGCGATATTCAATACTTAACCCTTACCCAAGTAATGGCGTTAGGTAAACGTCAACTAAAATTTACATCACAATTGAAATACGTACTGTATTCCAAATCAACTAAAATTAAACTATTGAAATAAACATTGGGAAACCGTGTCTCATGCTTTTGGTTACAGGCCTACCCAACACTTATGGTCACACATGCTGTCTGCTTCTACTCGACCTTGTCCGAAAAGTCCTCCCAAATCTCCACATCCACAAATGGATGTGATTTGTCTCGGGCTCCATTAGTGACCTGGAAGTCAAACCCTAGAGCCTTCACAGGTCACCTTCACGAATGGTGACGTTTCCCAGCTGCCCTCTTTATTGGGTCCTTGCATCACAAACGATCGGCTTATGGAACTTCAAATTTCACACGTCAATCTCAGACTCTGCTCCTTGAAGACCTCCTTACACGTGTTTCAGTTTCAAGACAATTCAAAAGGCCTTCCAATTGTACATTAAGTGGTTTTAATGTGTGTTCCCTGGCAGTTGTGAAGATTTGATTACTGTGTAAATGCATTCCAAGACAGTGCAGTCGTTAGATTCCGTGGAGACGAGTTCTGCTCTTGGTGACATCACAAGCCAGAGAGAGGGGGAGGCCCTGACGTAACCCACCTCGTTAATTTGAGGTGACGTCTTCAGAGGGAGCGTCTACATATTTAGGTAAACATGTGGTAAACAAGGTGGGATATCAATGCAGACAGATATATCTAAAGTTTTATTTGAATAGAATTTAAAATTCAATAAAACCTAGGCTAGAATACAAATCTGTAACAAAAATCCACGATGCCTTCAAATGTGCTCTTTAAAGTACCTCCTTGAGAAAAAACAGATCGGCAAACATCTTTCATTCAACGTTCTCTACACGAAACAGAGGAATGTTTTACACAAACTATAAATACCACGGCCTTTTAGGAATGCATGTGTAATGGGTTCCGGAGACACTTGTAGAGGTATCTTCTTTATTACAATACAACACTCCAACAGTCCTGATACTCTGTTACAGCCTAGATACACTACTCTGGCTACGCTCTGGGGTCCTCCGGCTGCAATTACCCTAGGGGAGGCTAATTGACCCGACCCAGCCAAGGTGCGGGTCTGGACTCTGGCTTCCTCGGAACTCGCCCTTACAAGGACGTAGAGCCGGGAGTCCCAGAGTCCCACCACTGGCCCTCACAACGTCCCGGCCCATACAAGGACAAGTGGGACGAGGGGGTCCAGGGTACTAAGCTGGCTGATCTTGGGTCTTGAGCTGCAACTGGCCCCGATCGGCCAGGGAGCTGCCCTTTTATGCCTCGTCCCCAACGAACGAGGGGTGGGGTTGTGTGCGCCCCCAGATATCCCACAGAGCACGCACAGCCCCCCCCCCGTTGGTGGCGCCAAAGGACTCAACTGTTTGGGGTGCCTGGGATCTAGCGCCTCGCGCCGAGGGCTTATCTGCCTAGGATCCTAGAGCCCCCAGCAGCCCCCCTTTCTTATGGCACTACATATGTGTTCAGTACAAGCCACCTGTGGACTGGTTTTGGTGTACAATGTCTCAACAGTCCGGCTTGCTTCAACTGATGTTCATCGGCAAGGTCCATTTCAAGTCTCAGTTCGACAAAATGTATACGTAACACAAAATGATAATTAGTGTTCTTGTGGAGAATGTATCTCCTATACGTAACTTATAAGTGGCATACCTTAACTGATGAATGATCCGACTATGCTCCCGATTTCAAAGACAATGAGTTGCCCCAGTCAGATGCGTCCTGATTCACAAAAATACCCTTTGACTCGTATCACAAAAATAACAGCTCTCACGTGAGTTTTTGTACAGGTTACCACCAAAACAGATACTTTGTCCTGACAGCACATATTCCATGTTTGACATTAATACACAAAATGTTGTATGTACGTACAAAATCAGACAGGTATTCTTTCAATTATGATTCAAAATAATCAAAGGGCACATTGGCAACATTTTATTACTATACTGAAATGTACTGCGTCACGTTGCAACGTATTTACAAGTTGATCTCTGCGGAGATGAGGCCTATATGTGCAGCACTCTCAGAGGGAAGCCAAGTAGTAGTACATTCTCTATTTATTGCAGAGGTTCAAGGTTCAAATCCGACTGGCATATTATCATCTCCCCCGACTTACAAACTCATATCCACGTGGCACACAGGGGCAGATGCCCATAATGGGCACCCATCGAGTGTCTAAGATGAGATATGATACAAAACACTTGAGTCACTCCTGGTTAGAGATCACCCCAACCCACAGGTTCACAAATACTGGCCACGCTTACACTGCAGTTTGAACCTAGAAATTGAGTGTTCAACTTCACATTATATTCATTAGAAAGGCCTGTGACAAAGGTGCATCCATTGGAGCTTAATTGTCTGAAGCTTGCACATCTACCTGGTCTCCATTTGACTTTGTATTGTCTAAGAAGTCCACCCACACCTCCACATCCACAAACTCATGGGAGTTGCCTCGCTCTGCCTCACAGTCAGAATTTAGTTCCTGTTTCACACTGCCTCCATCTATGTGAAGGTCCGATTTTGGAGTTGAATAATCTTCAAATTTAACCTTCACTTCTACGCTCTTCACTGTTACTTCTTCACATTTCACTTTCGCCTCTTCATATTTCACCTTGATACCTTTCAAAGTGTCCAGGCTGGGTTGTCTTCTGGTTCTTGTTTCATGCACAATGGGGTCATTGCAGCACTTTGACTTTCACAAGCTGATTTCAGATTACACTTCTTGTGGATTTTCTGATGCTTGTGTGTTCTCTGGGGTTTTTAAGATTTGATGACTGGCAAACGCTTTCCCACAAACACTGCACTTGAAGAGTTTCTCTTCTGTGTGTGTTCTCTGGTGCTGTTTAAGAGTAATGAATCTAAAAATGTCTTCCCACACACACTGCCCTTGAAGGTTTATCTCCTGTGGTGTTCTCTGGTGTCGTCGAAGATTAGATGAATCTTGAAAACGCCTTCTACACACACTGCACTTGAAGGGTTTATCTCCGTGTGGTAGTCTCTGGTGGGTCTGAAGAGTTGATGACTGTGCAAACGCCTTCCCACACAGAGTGCACTTAAAAGGTTTCTCTCCTGTGTGTGTTTTCTGGTGGGTCTTAAGATTTGATGACATTGCAAACACCTTCCCACACAAAGTGCACTTAAAAGGTTTCTCTCCTGTGTGTGTTCTCTGGTGTTGTTTAAGAGTAGATGAATAAAAAAATGCCTTCCCACACACTGCCGTGAAGGGGTTATCTCCTGTGTGTGTTCTCTGGTGGGTCTGAAGATATGACGACCTTGAAAATGCCTTCTCACACACAGTGCACTTGAAAGGTTTCTTTCCTGTGTGTGATCTCTGGTGTTGTTTAAGAGTAGATGAATAAAAAAATGTTCCTTTTCCCACCAACACTGCACTTGAAGGGCTTATCTCCTGTGTTGTTCTCTGTGGGTCTTAAGATTTGATGACTGTGCAACGCCTTCTCACACACAGTGCACTTAAAAGGTTTCTCTCCTGGTGTGTTCTCTGGTGGATCTTAAGATTTGATGACAATGCAAACGCCTTCCCACACAGAGTGCACTTAAAAGCTATTTCTCTCTTGTGTGTGTTCTCTGGTGTGATTTAAGAATGGATGACCGTGCAAACACCTTTTTACACACACTGCACTTAAAAGGTTTCTCTCCTGTGTGTGTTCTCTGGTGGGTCTGAAGAGTGATGACTGTGCAAACGCCTTCCCACACACAGTGCACTTGAAGGGTTTCTCTCCTGTGTGTGTTCTCTGGTGCTGTGTCAAGTTTCCAGTACGATCCATGCTGTTTGCATTCTGGTCGCATTGTTTCCTTCTTGTAACGAGCTGCGCTGAGTGCCTTTGCTCCATCAGACCAACTCTGCAGAGCGAGCATCAGCTGCAGACAGAAAAACATATCCACACCATCTCCGTGAGTATTGAGGCACAGAGGAATGCATATATACAGTCACACATGACTTACAATCTATACATATTCATATTTTCATGAAATAGTGTGAAGAGATTCCCCTAATTCATCACACGGGCTGCTAAGGCACACAATGAGAGGGCAAATGGTCATAAATATGACTCGCCACCCAAGTGTCTTCAAAATGAATATTTACCAAAACTCCAAGCACACCATTTTGGTTGTCTAGCTATGCAGGAATATTTATTTAAGAAAAATAGCTAACATAGCAAAGGCTGTTGATATTATTTGTATTATGCAGAAATGTATAAATTAATGTTCATTTGCAACTGTAAAGGTCTGAAGCCAGGCTCAGATGAGCTTGAATGCGAGGATGAACAGATCTAACTTAAGCTGCATATGTGCATTGTTAGTTTCCATTCTTATAAAATCTTGTTCTGTTACCTGTTGAATTCCATGACGAAATGGGGGCCTTGCATATGTTCTACAAAAGATCACCTCCCTGGGAAAATCTTGACTTAAAACTTTTGTGATAGCGGGAATTCATATTCTTTGGCTATTTCGGTAAAGTCACGTAGATATAAAATAATAATACAAATAAAGTGAATAGAAGAAAAAAAACGACTAATGTAGACTGTAGCCTGGTTCTTAACCTCGGTGAGCATACTGGCAGTCTATAATGTAGAAAATGTAGCCTGGTTCTTAACCTCAGTGAGTGTATTGGCAGTCTATAATGTAGACTATTGCCTGTTTTATTGACAAGACCTTTGCAATGGACTAGACCTTGGCGATGGACACTCACAGCTTTGTATGTAAAAAAGTCCAGGCAGCTTCCACATAGTGTTACAGAGCCTAATGAAAAAATGCTGCTAGACTAATTTGAAGTGACACTTTGGATGCCAAATAAGGTCATGAACACATTAACCAGGTATAGGAGCTCCTCCACCACGTGTAGAACGACCTGATTATTCATGGAGAGCTGAGCAGGTGCAGTGTTGTATGACATTAAATTCCCAGGGAGGTATTCTTTGGGTCTTTCGGTAAAGTCACGTCACTTACCGAGAGACCCAAAGAATATGAATTCCTGCAGTTACGAAAGCTTTAAGTCAAGATTTTCCCAGGGAGGTGATCTTTTTGTAGAACATATGCAGGGCCCCATTTCGTCATGGAATTCTCCAGGTATAGAACACGATTCTCCAACTCAATATCATTGAGTAGCCATGACCAGATCATCAACATGCCGTAACATGGTTGACCAGCAGGGGACGATCCCTTGACTATAACCAGGCATCGATTAGCGTATCATTGTTACTGTATGAAATGCAATTTTGTATAGGGCCATGTGAGCTTCTCAAAATACATAATTATACTTAAGCATTACCTAAATAATGGGTTAGGTAAACGGCAACTAAATAAACAATCACAATTGAATAAGTACTGTACTGTATTCCCAAATAAGGAATCATGTGTGCATTACCCACAATACTTGTGGTCAGAAAGGCAAACAAAAACACTCTGCTAGAAAATGCCTGGTCTGCTGCTGAGGCAGACCGTTGTAAAAGGTTTGAATGGGTGTAGCCCAAGGATCATAAGGATAGTGGCCGGGGCTAGTGATGTTAATGTAATAAATTAGCATGTTATATGTGAAATCGAAGAGTAGTGCAATCCAAAGCGGCCTCCCTACAAGACAGAGAAGGAGCGAGGCTCTACCTGGGTAACAACAACTACCACCACGACAACAATAACCACGATTGGAACTTCTCACTTCAGATCTCAGTGAGCGGACACTAAATAAATCACGCTAGCTAACACAGAGCGTACGCCTGGGATACACTGCCGAGATCATCGATGACCTCGCCGCCGAGAAGAAAGTTCAGCAGTATCTGACAAGCACAACCTGGTGGCAGCCAGATGCGAACTGCCCATATCCCCCATGTAACACCCTTGCCGAGCACGCGCACCGTGTGTGAGAGATTTGCTCGCGAGCGTGCGCAATTCTGACGGCTGGAACAGGAGCACACCATTGCAAGTCTTCTTCCAGAGGAGAAGCTCGCGAGAACGGTGAGGGGGGGGGGACGAGGGAGCCTCCAGGACCCCGTGAGACAATCCCAGGATGGGTGGCAGGGATACAGACCGGCATAGGAGATCACAGGCCATGTAACCCAAGTACGTGAGGAGGAGGTAACCCAAGTATGTGGGGAGTGACCCAAGTACACCTGAATGTTACCAAGCTGCAGTCTACAGCGGAGATAGTCCAGTCCGAGGTGGGAGGGCTACGCTCCATGGTCGGGGGGCTAACCAGGCGAGTATCTCAATAAGAGGCAGAACTCGAACAAATGCGCACTGGGAGGGTAAGGGGGAGTGGGCAAGGGGCCTCTTATGGAGCCACCGCCCTTCCCCGTACGTGCTATATGCGACCAATGGGGGCATCTCGTGAGAGACAGTCCCAAGATCGCCCGCGCGAGAGAAGCACCAGGGTTAAACACCAAGGCCTCCCTAAAGAGGGGACCACAGAGGGGTGCAATCCACGTGGTCCCAACACAAATAAACTGTCATGATAATGGTAACGAATGACCCCCACGCAGATATTGACAACAACACCCCAGAATGCGGCGACTGCGGGTGACTGGCTGCGGGAGCTGGTGGCAGGAATAATGGGGGCCACGTGGCTCGTGGAAGGGCAGGTGAACAGGCGGCAAACCCGGATTCTGCTGGACGCGTGGGGCGGTAATGTCACTCATGAGTGCAACACATTGCAGCGTGGTCGGGGTTGAAGTGGGCCGCCGACAGGCCCCGGATCGTGCGCTGCACACTGCAAGTGGAAGTGGGATGGGACTGCTGGGGAGGGTCACCCTTAAGGGTCGCCTCGGACACCAGGTGAGTAACCAGGAGTTATACGTGTCGAGCGTGTTATGTCACGAGTGTATTGCTGGTACCGACCGCCTGGAAAAGTTGGGGCTCAACGTGCAGCCCCGCCGGCGATGCGCCACCGTGGAGGGCAGCGGGGAGCGGATTCCTTTCTTGGGACAAGAGCCGGGTTGCCCTCGCTTCGAGCCCGTGGCCGCTATCCTGGCGTCAGCCGTCACCGTCGGCATTGGTGTTCCACTGGGTTTTCCGTTTTTCTCCCAAACCTAAACTCAAAATATAGTTGGTGGTGGTCAAACAGTCCAATGCAGGACCCTCCTGAAACATAATCTTTAACTGCTAAGTAAGAAATTAAATTGGAAAACCCTCAAACACAGTACACTATTTTTATTTTACCAGGTGAGGCCATCTGAGCTGCATAGCTCTTTTCAGAATCGACCTGGACACAAATGATAGCTCAACTTAGTGGGTTAAAATATGGAAATGTATTGCAGCAAAATTCTCAAAATGAATGTTTCTAAAATGTGGAGAAAAATCAATGCCACAACAGGGAGAGAGAAAAATAAAACATGTAAACTGCAATTATAAATGCGTCAGGGTTGGAATCGAACCCACGACATTCTGAATACCATGTGAGGTAGTTGACATCTTGCCACCCTAGTACAATATATCACACACAAACACATTACAGAGAATTCTAGATTTGAAGCTTTCGTGACTGCAAGGATTCATATTCTTAGGTTTTTTCGGTAAGTCAGTAGGTAAAACATCAAAAATTAATGAAAATAAACAAAAAATCACGACGTTTCGGAGGGCAACACAAGCTCCGTCATCAGGTGGGACGTCACAGCCGAATTAGCTGCATCAAGTGAGGCAATGATTCAAGATGTAATCCCTTATAAGCAAGTTGAAGGGGGTGGGGGAGAGAGGGGGGGAGCTCATCAGAATGTGGTAGCCAATGAATGGAAACGTATCGAGAGGGAGGGGGGCGGGGCTCAAAGACAGCACGGAGTGCTCAACACATTGGGCAGAGAGGGGGAGGGGAGGCCTGATACACATGATAGACAAAAGAACGAAAATGCCCATGTTTATACCAATGCTGGCTGAACAATGAAGAGAGTACTGTTAAAAAATAACTGGGAATGTTAACACTCGGTAAAGTAAAGTAAAATAGTGCCTGTCAGATAAGATGGTCCAAAAAGGTGTAATTAAGTCTTTTTTGCGTGGTTGATAACATCTTTCCAATGATTACTAAGTTTGTACCCATCATCACGGTTGAAATTATGTCTGTTTGTATATTTGTATGGCTTTGTGTACAAACCTTTGATGGTAGCCGGGTTTGCAGAGAACCTTGGTCTCGGAAAAGACAATTTCATGAGAGCCCACCGAGTTGTAGCAATGATCGGCAACGGCAGAAGAATCAGTTCTGCCGTGTTTCAGATCTGACTTGTGCTTGCGGACACGATCAGAAACATGACGTTTCGTTTCTCCAATGTAGCAATCACCACAAATGCAACTCAATTTGTAGACTCCAGAATACTGTAAGTCAGGAACAACATCCTTCACAGATGGAATCAGATCACGGATTTTATGCACTGTACTGAATCGGACTTGGATCTTATGTTTGTTTAGAATTTTGGAGATCTTTTTGGTCACGCCTGCTATGTATGGTAACGTGATGGTTTTGGTCGGAGTTTCATGTGGCTGTTTCTGTGTGGTGGGAGAGACAGCTTGGCGGATAGTACGGTCAGAGTATCCGTTCATCCTGAGGGCCCGATGTACATGTCTTAATTCACCGGTCAGGTGGTGTTTGTCAGAAATGCCATGGGCTCTGTGGTATAGCGTTTTGATGAGAGAATTCTTTTGAGATGGGTGGTGGTGGGAATCCGGTTTCAAGTAGGAATCTGTGTGGGTGGCTTTCCTGTAGACAGAATGTCCCAAGGATCCGTCAGGCCTCCTCTCAAACAGAATATCCAAGAATGGTAGTTTACCGTCTTTCTCCACTTCCATGGTGAATCTGATGGATGGGTGTCTAGAATTGATGTGGTCCAAGAAGTGGTTCAATGCTGGGAGGCCATGTGGCCAGATGACAAAAGTGTAATCCACATACCTCTTCCACAGGGAAGGACGCAGGGTGGATGTCTGGATGGCGTCTGATTCAAACTTTTCCATGAACATGTTGGCTATAACTGGTGACAAAGGGGAGCCCATAGGGGTACCCTCATTCTGTTTGTAGAAGGTGCCATTCCAGGTAAAATAGGTGTTGGTGAGGCAATGTCTAACCAGCGCAGGTGCATCAGAATTCAATCCATGTTGGACCAAGTCCTCAATTATTGTTAGGGTGTCCGGTACTGGGACTTTGGTAAACAAAGATACTACATCAAAGCTGACGAGGATGTCATCAGGTGATAGTACCATGTCCTTAACCATAGAGACTAATTGGGTTGAGTTGAGTACTGCCGAAGAGGTCTTGCCTGTGAAGGGGAGCAGAGTATCTGATAGAAAACGGGCTAGTTTGTACGTAGGAGAGTTATCGTCGACACAATGGGTCGTAGCGGGGTGCCTTCCTTATGGATTTTGGGAAGACCATAGAGTCTGGGAGGTCTTGCCGCCATGGTTTTAGAGAGGGACGTTTGCTTGGTTCGATTAGGGAAGTCGAACTCGTGATGATACTGTTGGTTTTCGTCGTTAGGCTTTTAGTGGGATCGTTTTTAATTTTGGAGTAACTCCCATCATTAAGAAGGTCCAGGATTTTGTTGTTGTATGAATCTTTATCCATGATGACCGTGGCATTGCCCTTGTCTGCCGAGAGGATGACTATATCATCTCTCTTTTTTAGGTCCGCGAGTTCAGAGCGTTCATTTTTGCTGATGTTACTAGTGGGTTTCTTAGCATTCTTAAGAATAGTAGCTATTTCAGCTCTTGCTACATCCACATGGATGTGTCCTATGCCTCTGAGGGCTACATCAATCTGAGAAATCATATCCTCTACTGGTATATATTTAGGGGTGACGGCGAAATTTAGTCCTTTGGCCAATACCGTTTTTAGAGTGTCAGAAATTGGGATGTTACTCTGATTAATCACGGTCTTGTTAACATCCAGCTTTGCGATGTGTGGCTCTAATTTCTTCTTAGATAGGTTGAATTTAGAAATCAGCTAACCTGATTTGGGAGTTACTCCAAAATAAAAAACGATCCCACTAAAAGCCTAACGACAAAAACCAACAGTATCATCACGAGTTCGACTTCCCTAATCGAACCAAGCAAACGTCCCTCTCTAAAACCATCGGCGGCAAAACCTCCCAGACTCTATGGTCTTCCCAAAATCCATAAGGAAGGCACCCCGCTACGACCCATTGTGTCGACGATAAACTCTCCTACGTACAAACTAGCCCGTTTTCTATCAGATACTCTGCTCCCCTTCACAGGCAAGACCTCTTCGGCAGTACTCAACTCAACCCAATTAGTCTCTATGGTTAAGGACATGGTACTATCTCCTGATGACATCCTCGTCAGCTTTGATGTAGTATCTTTGTTTACCAAAGTCCCAGTACCGGACACCCTAACAATAATTGAGGACTTGGTCCAACATGGATTGAATTCTGATGCACCTGCGCTGGTTAGACATTGCCTCACCAACACCTATTTTACCTGGAATGGCACCTTCTACAAACAGAATGAGGGTACCCCTATGGGCTCCCCTTTGTCACCAGTTATAGCCAACATGTTCATGGAAAAGTTTGAATCAGACGCCATCCAGACATCCACCCTGCGTCCTTCCATGTGGAAGAGGTATGTGGATGACACTTTTGTCATCTGGCCACATGGCCTCCCAGCATTGAACCACTTCTTGGACCACATCAATTCTAGACACCCATCCATCAGATTCACCATGGAAGTGGAGAAAGACGGTAAACTACCATTCTTGGATATTCTGTTTGAGAGGAGGCCTGACGGATCCTTGGGACATTCTGTCTACAGGAAAGCCACCCACACAGATTCCTACTTGAAACCGGATTCCCATCACCACCCATCTCAAAAGAATTCTCTCATCAAAACGCTATACCACAGAGCCCATGGCATTTCTGACAAACACCACCTGACCGGTGAATTAAGACATGTACATCGGGCCCTCAGGATGAACGGATACTCTGACCGTACTATCCGCCAAGCTGTCTCTCCCACCACACAGAAACAGCCACATGAAACTCCGACCAAAACCATCACGTTACCATACATAGCAGGCGTGACCAAAAAGATCTCCAAAATTCTAAACAAACATAAGATCCAAGTCCGATTCAGTACAGTGCATAAAATCCGTGATCTGATTCCATCTGTGAAGGATGTCGTTCCTGACTTACAGTATTCTGGAGTCTACAAATTGAGTTGCATTTGTGGTGATTGCTACATTGGAGAAACGAAACGTCATGTTTCTGATCGTGTCCGCAAGCACAAGTCAGATCTGAAACACGGCAGAACTGATTCTTCTGCCGTTGCCGATCATTGCTACAACTCGGTGGGCTCTCATGAAATTGTCTTTTCCGAGACCAAGGTTCTCTGCAAACCTCCCGGCTACCATCAAAGGTTTGTACACGAAGCCATACAAATATACAAACAGACAATTTCAACCGTGATGATGGGTACAAACTTAGTAATCATTGGAAAGATGTTATCAACCACGCAAAAAAGACTTAATTACACCTTTTTGGACCATCTTATCTGACAGGCACTATTTTACTTTACTTTACCGAGTGTTAACATTCCCAGTTATTTTTTAACAGTACTCTCTTCATTGTTCAGCCAGCATTGGTATAAACATGGGCATTTTCGTTCTTTTGTCTATCATGTGTAACAGGCCTCCCCTCCCCCTCTCTGCCCAATGTGTTGAGCACTCCGTGCTGTCTTTGAGCCCCGCCCCCCTCCCTCCCGATACGTTTCCATTCATTGGCTACCACATTCTGATGAGCTCCCCCCCTCTTCAACTTGCTTATAAGGGATTACATCTTGAATCATTGCCTCACTTGATGTAGCTAATTCGGCTGTGACGGTCCCACCTGATGACGGAGACTTGTGTTGCCTCCGAAACGTCGTGATTTTTGTTTTATTTTCATTAATTTTGATGTTTTACCTACGTGACTTTACCGAAAAAACCTAAGAATATAAATTACAGTGAAACCTTGGATAAGCCACTTTTTGTGAGCTGGTCGCTTCTGAAAACAAGTGCGGTATCAGCTGAAGTGGGCTTGACCTGGTAGGATAAAAAAATAAACTGTAGAAATAATTAAAAGAAACAAAGTTTCAAAGTAGTGAGCCAGATGAAGACAAATTAAACTTAAGCAGAGAATTAAAGCAAATGCAATCAGGCGAGGGCAGGAGGCAAGGCCCCGCATGGCTAGGCCCCGCGTTGTAATGTTCCAACCTGGACATGGATTCCATACTCGCTGCTACTCAATTGATATCCCTACGAGAGACGGAGCGAGGCTCTACCTGGGTAAACAACAACACCACAACAACAACAACCACAAAAACACAACCACCACGATGTGAACTTCTCACCTCGGATCTCAGTGAGCGCGCGCGCGGTGCAGCAGCTTCCGGATATATCGTGACGTCACGCGGCAGCAGGAGTGACATGACGTCACTAGCGGGGTTCATCACACAATCCCTCCCCAACAAGCAGCGGTGTAATTGAAATTATGTTAATGAGCCGGGCCCACGTGGGGTGATTGGGCTTGGCTACTGAACCCGTCGCAATGAAATAGCGACGGTTTTATGAATAAATTATGTTAATGAACCGCCAGTCAAAATCGCGGTGGAGGGGGTGGGATTGAATATCTTGGTGACATGACGTCACTAGCGGGGAACAGCTTTCCCTGGCGTCTCACGCCGACGAGTTAATGAGTGGTGACGTCACTGTTGTGTGTACACTGTGTGTACACTGTGTGTGTGTACACTGTGTGTACAAACTGTGTGTGTGTGTACACTGTGTGTGTACTCTGTGCGTGTACACTGTGTGTACACTGTGTGTGTACACTGTGTGTGTGTACACACTGTGTGTACAAACTGTGTGTGTGTACACTGTGTGGTACACACTGTGTGTACAAACTGTGTGTGTGTACACTGTGTGTGTACAAACTGTGTGTGTGTACACTGTGTGTACAAACTGTGTGTGTACACTGTGTGTACAAACTGTGTGTGTGTACAGTGTGTGTACTCTGTGCGTGTACACTGTGTGTGTGTACCCTGTGCGTGTACACTGTGTGTGTGTACACTGTGTGTGTGTACACACTGTGTGTACAAACTGTGTGTGTGTACACTGTGTGTGTGTCAAACTGTGTGTGTACACTGTGTGTGTACACTGTGTACAAACTGTGTGTGTGTACACTGTGTGTACAAACTGTGTGTGTGTACATGTGTGTACTCTGTGCGTGTACACTGTGTGTGTGTACCCTGTGCGTGTACACTGTGTGTGTGTACCCTGTGCGTGTACACTGTGTGTGTACACTGTGTGTGTGTACACTGTGTGTGTGTACACTGTGTGTACAAACTGTGTGTGTGTACCCTGTGCGTGTACACTCTGTGTGTGTACACTGTGTGTACAAACTGTGTGTGTGTACACTGTGTGTGTGTACAGTGTGTACAAACTGTGTGTACCCTGTGCATGTACACTGTGTGTGTGTACACTGTGTGTGTGTACCCTGTGCGTGTACACTGTGCGTGTACATTGTGTGTGTACAAACTGTGTGTGTACACTGTGTGTGTGTGTGTACACTGTGTGTTGGCACAGTCGGGGGTACAGATGGTGCATCGGCCAGTCAACTGAGTCAGTCGACCCATGGCACCTGGGGGTCTACCCCGTGCACATAGCCTGGCACAAGCGCCATGGTGACGTGACCGCCACTTAGTGGCGAATGGCGGTTGTTGTTCTTGTTACTGTGTGTCCGGCAAAACAAGAGATGGCACCTCAGCCAGCCATCTCATTGAGTAGCCATTACCAGATCATCAGCAGATGCAACAGGGCTGACCAGCAGGGAAACAGGTCTCTGCGGGTGGGCTGGTAGGAACGAACAAATGAATGGCTTTAATAAAATGAAATGGCGGGGGTACGATACGAAGGGAGAGTTTGAGGCCTAGTTCTAGGTTTTAGGCCTAGCTGTAGGCTTTAGGCCGCTGTGAGTTAATTTTTAATTTAAATGTTTTAATTTAAAACTATCTCAGGGAATTATAAGGGAATGTTACACTTGTTTAGCCAGGAAAGCCTCACTGAGTCTAAAGGTTTTTGTAGGGTCCTGCCAAGTGTTTGCAGTAGGGGGCGATGTTGCTACACGTAATCGGACATCGGACGATATAATCTATTGTAGGCTGGTTCACTTCGTTCCTACCAGTATAATCCCTTAACGATAACCAGTCATCGATAAGCGTATTATTTTTAACTGCGACGAATCCAATTTATTTATACGGCCATTGTGAGCTTCTCAAACTACATAATTATTGAAGATGCTATGTGATGTGTAATAAACCCCATTGAGACGACATCGTGAATTGAGAATTCTTTATTCAGTTTCGTTCACAGCTTCCACCACATTCGTTCCTCCAGTTCCCTTGCTCCTTCACGCTGTTGGCTGACAGCGTGAGATTTCCGCGGCCCGCCACATGGCAGGCTCCGGACCACGGCACCAGCCACGTGGCTTTGTCGCCCCTTTTAATCCCTGGCCCACGTGATGCCCCGCAGCCAATCAGCCACACCCCTGGAACTTTCTAGAAGCTAATGTACGGCTCCAGGGCCACGCCCCTAACTCGACTCCCCATTGGTTGCGGGCTGAAGCCAGCAGAGCCAATCATCATCATCCAGGTGTAACCTCACATTACAAATGAAATGCATTGGGGCAGAGTGAATTTCTGTCACAAGCCGAGTTGAACAGGAAATGGTTCCAACTCCTGGTCACGCACCTTTACATAGGCCTGCCCAAAATCATAAAAATCCTCAACGAATGTGAGCAGAGGCAGAGACATCGAAATCAAGGAACCCAAAGCACCAAGCCTATTTAGGGTACCATAGGCCTGCTGTACTCGATCGACAGAAAATACAGCCGCCCCTTGAATATCGTAGGTTACGTTCTTGGAAAATGCCGCGCGACAGCTAAAAACGCGATATTCAATACTTAAGCCTTACCCAAGTAATGGCGTTAGGTAAACGTCAACTAAAATTTACATCACAATTGAAATACGTACTGTATTCCAAATCAACTAAAATTTAACAATTGAAATAAACATTGGGAAACCGTGTCTCATGCTTTTGGTTACAGGTCTACCCAACACTTATGGTCACACATGCTGTCTGCTTCTACTCGACCTTGTCCGAAAAGTCCTCCCAAAACTCCACATCCACAAATGGATGTGATTTGTCTCGGGCTCCATTAGTGACCTGGAAGTCAAACCCTAGAGCCTTCACAGGTCACCTTCACGAATGGTGACGTTTCCCAGCTGCCATCTTTATTGGGTCCTTGCATCACAAACGATGGGCTTATGGAACTTCAAATTTCACACGTCAATCTCAGACTCTGCTCCTTGTAGACCTCCTTACACGTGTTTCAGTTTCAAGACAATTCAAAAGGCCTTCCAATTGTACATTAAGTGGTTTTTAATGTGTGTTCCCTGGCAGTTGTGAAGATTTGATTACTGTGTAAATGTGTAGTGACATAAGAAGGGAGGGGCTGCTGTAGGCTCTGGGTTCCCAGGTGGGTCCAGACGCGTAAGCCTCTGGGCGCCAGGCACTGGGTTCCCAGGGGGTCCAGACGCTTTTAAGCCTTTGGGCGCCAGGCGTTGGGTTCCCAGGCGCTTAAGCCTTTTTGGCGCCGCCAACGGGGGGGGGGGGGGGGGGGCCGTGGGTGCTCTGTGGGTTGTCTGGTGGCGCACACGGCCCCACCCCTCGTCGGACCAGGCATAAAAGGAGAGCTCCCTGGACGATCGGGGCCCAGTTGTAACTCAAGACCCAAGACCCACGACCAGCCATCTGAAGACCCTGGGATGCTGTGAGAGCCAGCGCTGGGACTCTGGAACTCCCGACGCTACGACCTTGTGAGGGCGAGTCCAGAGCGTAGCCAGAGTAGAGTATCTAGGCTGTGTAGCTAGGCTGTGTACCTAGGCTGTAACAGAGTATCAGGACTGTTGGAGTGTTGTATTGTAATAAAGAAGTTACATCTACAAGTGTCTCCGGAACCCGTTACAAATGCATTCCAAGACAGTGCAGTCGTTAGATTCCGTGGAGGCGAGTTCTGCTCTTGGTGACATCACAAGCCAGAGAGGGGCAGGCCCTGACGTGACCCACTCGTTAATTTGAGGTGACGTCTTCAGAGGGAGCTTCTACATATTTAAGTAAACATGTGAAAAACAAGGTGGGATATCAATGGACACATATATAAAGTTTTATTTAAATGAATATAAAAATTTAATAAAACCTAGGCTAGAATACAAATCAGTAACAAAAATCCACGATGCCATCAAATGTGCTCTTTAAAGGAACTCCTTGCGAAAAAAACAGATCGGCAGACATCTTTCATTCAACGTTCTCTACACGAAACAAAGGAATGTCTTACACAAACTATAAATACCATGGCCTTCTAGGAATGCATGTGTTCAGTACAAGCCACCTGTGGACTGGTTTTGGTGTACAATGTCTCAACAGTCGGGCTTTGCTTCAACTGATGTTCATCAGCAAGGTCCATTTCAAGTCTCAGTTCGACAAAATGTATATACGTAGTACAAAATGATAATTAGTGATGTTGAGAATGTATCTCCTATACGTAACTTATAAGTGGCATACCTTAACTGATGAATGATCCGACTATGCTCCTGATTTCAAAGACAAGGAGTTGCCCCAGTCAGATGCGTCCTGATTCACAAAAATACCCTTTGACTCGTATCACAAAAATAACAGCTCTCACGTGAGTTTTTGTACAGGTTACCACCAAAACAGATACTTTGTCCTGACAGCACATATTCCATGTTTGACATTAATACACAAAATGTTGTATGTACGTACAAAATCAGACGGGTATTCTTTCAATTATGATTCAAAATAATCAAAGGGCACATTGGCAACATTTTATTACTATACTGAAATGTACTGCGTCACGTTGCAACGTATTTACAAGTTGATCTGACGAGATGAGGCCTATATGTGCAGCACTCTCATAGAGGGAAGCCAAGTAGTAGTACATTCTCTATTTGTTGCAGAGGTTCAAGGTTCAAATCCGACTGGTATATCAATCATCGCCCCCGACTTACAAACTCATATCCACATGCAAGCCAGTGAACGGTCACCTTGTGGCACACAGGGGCAGATGCCCATTATGGGCACCCTTCGAGTGTCTAAGATGAGATATGTTAGAAAACACATGAGTCGCTCCCGGATTCGATAACGACCCAACCCACAGATCCACAAATACTGGCCACTCTTACACTGCAGTTTGAACCTAGAAATTGAGTGTTCAACTTCACATTATATTCATTAGAAAGGCCTGTGACAAAGGTGCATCCATTGGAGCTTAATTGTCTCAAGCTTGCACATCTACCTGGTCTACATTTGACTTTGTATT